CCTCCCCTCCATACTTTGCCATATTTGGCCCATAGTTCAAAAAGTTTGAAAAAAGTGTTTTTCTCGCCTCCCATAGTTTGCCATACTTGGCCCATAGTTCGCCCATACTTCAAAAAATTGGACAAAAGTGTTTTCCTCGCCTCCCAGACTTTGCCATACTTGGCCCATAGTTCGCCTATAGGCCAAAAATTTTGAAAAACGAGCTTTCTTGCCTCGCGTACTTTGCCATACTTGGCACATAGTTCGCCCATAGTTTAAAAATTTTGAGAAGTGTTTTTCTCGCCTCCCATACTTTGCCATACTTGGCCCATAGTTCGCCCATTGTTCAAAAATTTGGAAAAAAGTGTTTTCCTCCCCTTCCATACTTTGCCATACTTGGCCCATTGTATTGTATTGTATTGTATTGTATTGTATTGTATTGTATTGTATTGTATTGTATTGTATTGTATTGTATTGTATTGTATTGTATTGTATTGTATTGTATTGTATTGTATTGTATTGTATTGTATTGTATTGTATTGTATTGTATTGTATTGTATTGTATTGTATTGTATTGTATTGTATTGTATTGTATTGTATTGTATTGTATTGTATTGTATTGTATTGTATTGTATTGTATTGTATTGTATTGTATTGTATTGTATTGTATTGTATTGTATTGTATTGTATTGTATTGTATTGTATTGTATTGTATTGTATTGTATTGTATTGTATTGTATTGTATTGTATTGTATTGCAATGTTCCGGCAATTTTTATAAAATTTAAAAAAAGCAATTTAATCCTTAACAAAATTGATTTATATTTAGCCCATTGTTCAAGAGAGATCACCATAGTTTGCCTATATTTCGGATTTTGAAAAATTTTTCTAGAGTTTTATTGTATAAAAATTATATTTTTTGCCCATAGTTCAAAAGAGTTTGGAAAACTTCGCCCATAGTTCAGTTTTGTTGTCTTGGTTAAATTGTCTAAAAATTTTATTTCTACTATGTCCATAGCTCGTCAAGAGCTCGCCCATAGTTTGAATTATTTTAATTTCATTAAGTTTCGATTCCTGAAAATTATATTTTTAATCTGCCCATAGTTCAAGAGATACTCATGCACGATAATTATCTTTCTTGTGAAATCGAGTTCACGATGGGTGAATGAATTTTTCCTGAAATTGATCAGATTAAAAATAAAATCAAAAAATAAATAAAAAAAGTAAAAAATGAAATAAATACTTAGAAGGCAAAAAAAGAAAACAGTGAAAATTTGAAAGAATCATATAAAAAATAATAAATTAAAAAATAAAAATTATTTAAAATGAAAAATGTAGTAACTTTTAAATGATCGAATAAAAATGAAATAAATAAAAGTAAATTGATAAAATTAAATAGTTTACTTTTAATTTTGAATCCGGTATTAAGGAATTTTTTTGTACTCAAAAAATGTTTGGATTTCATTTAAATTCTGTAATATTTGACATTTTTCTAAAGAGGCGTTTCATTTTTCATAGATACGCTGTACATGTTGTAGCAGATTGGCTTGTATTTTTTGTTAAATAAATTTCCGAAAAGCATAGATGAGGATAAAGTGAACAATTAAAATATTGATTATAAATATGAATGCGCGTGAAGACTTGGCGATCGGAATTTATTGGAGCAAAGATCTTCGCAGACTTCTGTTAATTCCGTAATGAATGAGGGAAATCAAAATTACTATTAATGTCACTATGAGGCTCCTAAATGGCTAACTCTGCTGGGGATCGAAACCTAGGCCCCATCAATTGCCGGTTGATTGCTCTTCCACTGAGGTACAGAGGTCCACATCCAACACATTTTCATAGCTTTACCGACTTATAGTCAAGATGTTTACCTTCTTCGGTTTTAGTTTTTTTTAAATTTTCCCGGAACTTGCTATGATTGGCAATTCTGTTTGTGAATAATTCCGGGAAAATTTAAAAAACTCCAAAAAAATTATTTTTTAACAAAACATTTATTTTCAAAATTTTCATTTTTCAAATTTAATATTAAAAATTTTCATTTTTCAATATTTTAAATCATTTTTTCAAAATTTAAGAAAGTTGCCCATGAAGCAATTAATTTATTTAAAAAAAATTTTTGAAAGGAAATTGAGTAAAAAATTGCTAGAATATACGCAATTCAGGGAATGTTCTTTATTATGAAAAAAAAGCATCATGTGCTCACTTTGCGGAACAGAGGAGAATTAAATGTTGCAGATAAAAACTGTAAACTATTCTTAGAGAAGATCACTTTCAGCAGCCATTTTCTAAAATTCTATTAAAAAACATTATTTCTAATTATTGTGAGTAATGTATTTGATTATAAAAAAATGTTATGTAATAAATATTTTTCTTTCTTTAAAAAAAATCTCTGAAATAAACCTTAAATTCAGTAGAATCTTCCCCTAATAAAAGAAATAATGCACCTTCTTCAATGTAATATGATGTTTTTCCATTTTTTTATATTACAGTGATATTTTTTTAGTTGTATTTTTAAAAAAAATTCACATTTTTCTTTAAAATATTGTAAATTTCACAGAAATAAATAAATGAATGTTTTGTTTATGATTTGAAAATAGTAAATGTCAGTTGTAAGGAATAAGTCATTAGTGGGCCAGGAATAGGGAAATTATTTGAAATGTATTATTTAGTTCTATGGAATGATACAACGACAAGTATTATAGAACAGAAGGACATCTTAGAAATTGTTCATGAACGCATAACAGTTAGATGGTATGGGAGATCCTATCAAGCGAAACTTATCGCTTTTAACGGTTAGTAAGACTTTCATCTTCTACAATTTAAATTTTGACCTTTTAACTATGAAAACATTTCCTTTTGCCTCTTGGTAAACATATCCACAGATTAAAAAGATTTAGACAACAAATAAAGGTATATACTTAAAATTGAATTCATCAAATCTTACAAATTTAAGCCAAAAATTGTTAAATAATATTTATTTATTTTTTTGTTTTTTATGTTCAAATTTACTAAACAATTATTTTTATTTAAATTTTATACACAAAAAATTATTCAACATAAAAAACAGAAATTTTGTAATTAATTGGGATAAAATTTTATAGGTTTATTTATCACATGAATAAATTATATTTTACTGAAGAATTTTTAAATATAGCAAAAAGAAATCTATTTGTATTCAGCGACCTTAAAATTCAAAAATAGAAAGTTTAGTAAAAATACAGAAAAAATTTTGTCAACACATTTTTGGTTATGAATGTGAGAAACCTCCTTGAAAAGCAAGGGGTTAATTGAATATGAATTTTATTCAACTATCATTTTACATAATTTACATTTTTTAAAGTTAATATTTGATTGACATTTGATTTGACCAAATTTTAAATTATTTGTATTCATTAAATAAATTAATTATACTTAAATAATTAAATTAAATAATTAAAATAAATTAAATAAAATAATTAAATTAAATTACTTAAATTATACTTAAATAAATAAAATAATTAAATAAGTTCAAAAATATGTTCATGAAATTCAACTATTATATATTAGAGAACAAAGAATGGCTCGAATCTTTGGATATAAACAAGACGGGAGTACTGTTTGGCCAAACTGAACAAAAGATTCCAAATGGTAATTTTTAATCTTTATGAACCATTCATTTTTTTAATCAAGTAACTTTTGGATCACGGCAATTAATGAATTCTGGATTGTTAATTGAGGGCATGTGATTTCTAATTTACGTGATCACTACGTAATGTTGATTTTTTCGTAACTATTTTCTGTAAATAACCATAAAGTTAGTTTCCAAAACTTTCAGAGATGTCTTTTTCGCGTACTAAAATTTTTTTATTCGGAATCAGTTGAAGTAAAATTTAAAAACAAATTAGGAACTTTTATTTAAATTCACAATAATTCTTGTGAATAAACTTTTAAGAATCATTGCAGTAACTTTTCGTAACCTATCAAAAATTTTTTTATACCTTTGCTTTCTGAATACCTTTTAGAATTCTAATAGAACAAAGTTTTTCTGACTAAGAAAAAACAAACCTTCTCTTGAAGTTTCTATTCAATATTAAAATTTTTTAGTAAATAAGTTTTATAATAATAAGTAAATTAATTAATGAATAAATTCTAAAATAAATTAAAATATTAACTACAAACTCCTATGTTAAAACACACCTGGGAAATTCCTGGTTAATTCTTGCGATTGAATATTCTGTATATTGGCGATTCAAACAGCTACACTAGCGCCACAGTTGAACTAACTTAAGCGTGACTCGCTCTGTAGCACTCAATGAGTTTTAAATTATTTTTTTTTATTTAACGCTTAAAAATTATTTTACAAACGCAATAAAAATATCAGAATAATTAAATAATTTGAAATAAACTGTCACAACAGAGACTGCTTTAGAGCGAGTCACGCCTAAGTTAGTTCAACTGTGGCGCTAGTGTAGCTGTTTGAATCGCCAATAAAACTATTGATAATTCTATAATCATTTTTCTGAAAGTCTATTTGAAATCAAATTTTGAGTTTCTTGGGAATATTTTCTCATAGGTTAATAGTGTTGTCAATTTTCATAAATAAAATATATTTTACATTAGTGATAATACCAGATGCGATTGACTCGATGGGCAACGACACACTTAATGTGACTGCTGGCGAATCAATTTCTGGCACTGCAAACGAACCAGCTTCTGCTGCAAATGACATAGTTAGTTATAAATTGAATATTTATTCATGTTTTTTATTCATTATTCATGTGAAAATATTTTCATAAAATTTTCATTTTTTTTATTGACATTCAAGGATATAATATAGCAGTTTTACCATCTCTGTATATTTGAATTGATAAAAGTTTTGTTCTTTCAAATAACGAATCAAGTTTTAAATGAAAAATTTGTGAAGATCGCTGTTATATCATTGCAATTTTCTTCATAAGAAAAAGACATCCTAAAACATTCATAGGGTTTCCATAAGATATAGAAACCTACCACCGTGTGTAGAATATCAGCATAATATAAATAGGACAAAAGTAAAATATCGATAGAATACCCATAAGATATTCCTGCGATATCTCAGAGATATTCACAGGATATATCAAGGTTATACCAAGGTTATCACGTAGATATTTTAAAGGTCATCATTGTTTACTAACTCGGTATTACGCCGGCAAAAATATTGGTACCTGGGGGTCGATTATGTAATTTCACTTTCACTTCACTTTCACTTTCACACCATTTTCACTCGACTTTCAATTTCACTCCATTTTCACTCCACTTTCACATCATTTTCACTCGACTCTCACTTTCACACCATTTTCACTCCACATTCACTTTCACACCATTTTCACTCGACATTCACTTTCACACCATTTTCACTCCACTTTCACTTTCACACCATTTTCACTCGACTTTCAATTTCACTCCATTTTCACTCCACTTTCACTTTCACATCATTTTCACTCGACTCTCACTTTCACACCATTTTCACTCCACTTTCACATCATTTTTACTCGACTTTCAATTTCACTCCATTTTCACTCGATTTTTACTTTCACACCATTTTCACTCCACTCTCACTTTCACACCATTTTCACCCCACTTTCACTTTCATCCCATTAGCACTCCACTCTCACTTTCACACCATTTTCACCCCACTTTCACTTTCATCCCATTAGCACTCCACATGCACTTACACCTCTTTTGCACTCGACTTTCACTCCTCTTCAAACCAATTTTCACTGCACCTTCACTTATGAGACGAAAATGAGTACGCGATCAAAAAAGATAGAGAAATTTTTAATTTCACTAAAATAGTTCCATCTTTCTTAGAGTGGATTCAGCATAAGATCATGTTAAAGCCGATTTAATTTTCTGCGAAAAATTCGAGTCCGTCACATCCTGAGTTAAAATAGAACTTAATTTGAAGCCCTATAAAATGAATTTTTATTAACTTTTTGTAAAGGAAATGACTGAAATAACGAAGGGAATTCCGGTTTACGTTAAAACATCGCAGTTGAGGACTTTTGAAAATTTGCACCACAAGCCAAGGGAATTGGCCAGGAGTTTGCTGAAGGAGCTAATAAAAGTTGACGAACTTAAACAAATGACGGCACTGGGCAGGTCAGGAAAAAAGGGGGTTCCTGAAGAAATTCGAAGAGCAATTTTTTGTAATAATGAAATTAATAATAAATAATCATAAATAAAAATAATAAGTCTGAATAAGTTTCTTTCTGCAGCTTACGTAGAGCGAAAGAAAACCGAAAATGTCAATTTCACCATGGAGGAGTGGATTACTGTTATTAATAACCTCATCCAAACATTGCGCCACCCAAAAATAAGGAAAAACTAATTTTATTCAATTTCATTTATTTTTCTGCAACTCTCGATATAATTTATAATAAATAAAAATGTCTGCTTTTTCAAAATAAATTTTTTTCAATTTACTCAATTATCTTTTATCTTCTATAAAATATTTTTAAGATCAATTCCTAAAATGAATAAGTGTTTCATATTTTTCAAATTATTCAAAAGATACAAAATAAAATAAAAATAATACATCAATAATAGCAAAACCCGCGCACCCTGCTTCGCGGAGCAGTTCATTGCGGGTTTTACGCATACATATGACAACACATACAAATAACTAACTCAGGATGGAGTCAGATTAATCACCGGAAATAATTCCTTTTTGACTTACTAGAGACATCGGAATCCTAAGTTACTCCAAGAACAAAAGGAAATAATTGTAACATTACATCCAAGTTTTGGTTTTCGATCCCATATTTGTGAAGTCGATAAGTTCAACATAAGATTTAAAATAATTTGGTACTAAAATACAATTTTTTCAAATTTATTAAAAATACTGCGATGTAATTAATTGTATAAATTATTATTCACCAATAAATTGAAATGTAAATAAAATAGATTACTTGTTACAAATCATTTTTTATCACTTCTAATTTGAACAATATGTTTTAAAAAGGAAAATGTTTCCAAAAATTTTTTGTCCTCCTCTGTCTGGAATTTTTTTCTGGAAATAATGCAATACTTGTTTCTAATTTTTTTAAATAAATCTTCGACTTTTCCGCCTGTAAGAATATTTATTGATTCATGATAATAATAATAATAATTATAATAATAATTTCACTTGTAAAAATAATAATATACATTTATGTATAATTTACCTTTTAACCAAAAATAACTTGGATCTTTATTTTTAATTTCCGCAGCTGTTTCCTCAAACGCATTTGTCACCAAACGACTTCGGTTAGAATATTGAGGAATTGTGAATTGCTTGTCGTAAATTATATTCCTTTTACCAATTTCTTCACCAAGAAGCTTAATTAATTTTCTATCCTCCATGTTTACACTTTTTGGTTATATTATATTAATGCAACTTGAAGTTGATTGTTTTAAAAACAAAAGTTAAGCGTCAATTACAGGTTTTTTTTACAGGGAAAGAAAAAAAAGTAAAATTTTTATTTAAACGAATGTTTTTAAATTTCAAATAAAAAAATTATTATTATAAAAATAAATATAATATTGATAATAAAAATACACCCGCGCACCCTGCTTCGCGGAGCAGTACATTGCGGGTTTATGCAATTGAATTTAAATATTTATAACAAATGGTAAGTGATATCGATTTAAAAAATAAATCAATATTTATAGCTATAATAGATCAAAAATATAATAAATTATAAAAATATAAATATATAATAAATTAGAAAATTTAATAAAATAATTTTGATATTGATTGTTCATAATATTTTTTAAGATGAATTCATAACAAATTAAAAAATAAATAGTGGTAAAGAAGTAAACTAGAAAAATAATTCTTTTGTTTTATTTTCATTTCTATCATCATTTGTCATTTTTTTCAGCCATTTTGACTGAAGTTTGACAAATTAAAAATAAAATAAAAATTTTCTAAGCAGTAATAATATTTTAATGAATTTTGAGAACATTGAAAAGGAAAGCGAGGAAGATATTCAGAAAAACGTGTAGACCGCCCCACCAACAGTGGATCTACCTGAGAATAAAATCAATCAGATCGAGTTCTGCTTTATAATTATACTCCAAGCTTTTTTGCTTTTCTTTCACTACGAAATTGCCTGTAAAAATGGAGCGAAACATTTTCTCAAATTTAAGCGGTAAGTGTAATACTTATTTAATTATTTACTGAATTGGCGAAATTTTAATCAATGGAAATTGATGTTGTTTAAGGTTCTCAATTTTTTTCTGCCAATATTGAGTATTTAAAAATAGAATATATTGTGAAAAGTTTAAAAATAATTTGCTTACAATTTTTTAAATAAAACTCAAAATTTTCCAAAAATCAAAATTAGAACTATTCTCACAATTTTCATTATTTGTCATTGTCGAATGTTTCATACACCTTTTTCATGGTTCTAAGTAATGAAATGTATGGATTTTGAAAACATTTTGATTTTTTCCAAAAATGAAAATTTTGAAAAATTAAAAAAATTTGTGAAATAGTTAAAAATAATATTTTTTTTATAGTGGAATGTAATTTCAGGTTTTGAAAAAAATGTCAAAAAAATTGTTACTCCTCAACGAGGTCAATTTGATCGATTTAAAATTTACTGTAATTTTTTTCAAAATTTAAATGCTTTCACAATTTTCCTCATTTTTCATCGACGAATTTCTTATATGCTTTTTTCATTAATCCAATCAATCAATTGCCTGGAATTTGTAAAATTTCAATTTTTTCAAAGTCATAAATTTTCTGAAATGCCCAAAATTAATATTTTCAAAATTTTAATAGTAATATAATAATTTTAGATCTTAAAAAATGACAAGAAAAGACAATTCTTAAGAACAATTATTTCAATCGACTAAAATTTCATTGGTCTTTCCCCTTAATAATAATAAAAATAAAATGATAATAATTTTTAATAATTAATAATAATCAATATTAATAATAATAATTAATAATAATAAAAATAAAATGATAATAATTTTTAATAATTAATAATAATCAATATTAATAATAATAATTAATAATAATAATTAATAATAATGTTTATTAAAATTTTCAGAAGTAAAGCGAGGTTTGATAATTGGAATGCATCAAGCAGGGAGTAGGACTGATGAAATTTCCCAGCAAGTCGGCTGCTCCATGAAAACTGTAAGGCTTTGGATAAAAAGATATGCACAGGGCGGACCCCTAGCATTGGCCGATCACCGAAAATACAACCATCCTCCGAGGAAAACGACACTAATTCAGGATGAAGTGATAAACGAATTCTTCACTGCTCATGATCCATTTTCTTCTACGAGACGTTTTGTAAACGTTGTTCAACCAGAAGTCTGCAATGATACCATCCGTAGAAAGTTGAATGAAATGGGGATTCGGAGCCGTCGCCCAGCGATGAAATGGGAGCTTACTGAGGACCATCGAACCCAACGTCGTGAGTACGCTGAACGATATCTTAACGAACCAGAGGAATTTTGGATAAATACCATCTGTGTGGATGAGAAGTCCTTTCAATCGTCCGAAGATGGTCGAACTCTGGTTTGGAGAAGCAATGAAAGCCGGTTACGAGAGAACTGCGTTGTGAGGAAGAACAGAAGCGGGCGCATTTCTTGCAATTTTTGGGGCAGCTCCTCTGTCTACGGAGTTGGCGTATTAAGGGACGTAGGCCCTAGATTCAATTCGCAGGCATACGTTGAATTACTAGAACAAGACTTTCTGCCGTACGTAAACCGGTTGTTCCCCGAAGACGAGTATGAGGAAGTGAAGCTGTTACAAGACAATAGCAGGATCCACACGGCCAATCGGACGATGAATTGGTTTGAGCGACACCCGAGAATCACCTTGCTTCCTCATCCTCCGCGTTCGCCAGATCTCAACCCCATCGAAAATTTATGGGCAATGGTGGTCAGGAAATGGGAATCAGGAGCTGACCGAAATTTGGAAGACCTGATGAACCACGCCTGGAGAAGTTGGCAAGAAATAGGAGATACGCCAGAAGTCGTTTCAAACGCAATTCTTTCTATGCCGAGACGACTACAGGCAGTCCTTGACAACGATGGAGGATGGACAAAATATTAAGTGTCTGTCTGTCTGTCAAGAATTCACAGAGGCCACCCGACAAAAAGGTGAGTTTTTGTATTTGAAAAAAAATATTCTTCTTTTATTATTTATTTTTATAAATAAACGAATATTACATTTAAATTGAAAGTTAATAATTTAAAAAAATATTTTCCCCAGCTTCAGAAAAAGCGAAAAATCCTTGCCCTCCAATCAGCACTTCTTATGGCAGAAATAGGTAACGATCTTAAAGGATGGTTGATAACGGTACTCCAAAAAGTCGACTCTTTAAAACGGCTATTAGAAGAAGAGCAACAGAGCCACGCAACTCAGATTTAATGCCTTCAAGATAAATGATGATGGAGACGAAATGGAATCAAACTTTGCCACCGTTATACACTTTTGAATATGTGTTTCATTCTAATTTAATTTTTTTATGGAAGAAAAAAGACTTTTTAAGGCAATAATCACTGTTGAATATTTTATACCTTATTATCAACCTTTTTTTTATCTCAATTTTTAAAACAATTTGTCTAATAAAACAATCAACTGTATGCTAAACATAAAACTTTTATTTATTACAATGATTTTCCATTCTTTCTACAATGAATTTTCTTATCAGGATTTGTTTAATTTGAGACTCAAAATAAGAGTTTAAACAATTTATCACAATAATAAAATTCCTAAATAAATAAATATATTTTTCAATAAAATTATCAATTTTTTTACTACTGAATAATAAAAAAACAAATTAAAATTACGTTGAACTTTTTATAATTATTCAAAATTGTTTACAGAAATAACTTTGCAATTGAAAACCGCGATCTTTCTGATCCCACGAATTTGGCGAGTTTCACTCCTCAGACTGATTCCACATTTACCGAGTCAACTTGGCCAACGTTAAAATTTCATAATAATATCTGCGTGATTGAAGAAAGATTAATTCTTTGAAAAATGGGGTTTTAATTTTCATTCTCAATTTAAAATGAGAAAAAAATTACCGATATTTAAGTTTTTTTTAAATTGAATTTTGTTTTTGTATTAAATATTAAATGATATTTAAATCTCTTAAGAAATTCATTCTTTAAACTTTTTATCGCAAATCTGAAATAATAATTATTTTTTCAAATTAAATTTTTTGTCACGGATTTTCGACGTTAAACAAGCATGATGTTTTGATTTTCAAAAAAGTATTTAATTTTTACAAAATTTAGAAATATTAAAATAATAAGAGGACTATTTATTTTATTTTCCAAATATAAAATATAATTATTTGTTATTGTTTTTATATTTTAACCTAAATGTTGTTTACCTGCAACCCCTGCAATTGATTGTATAATCCTTTTTTAAATCACAAATATTCAATTGCCAAACATATTTTATTAGTTTAACACTCGGAATGATTTCTTTAAAATCAAATTACGCACAAAAACTGCTAACCAACAATTTTCACTCACCAAAACAAACTTTTTCAAATGATGACCGATGATGACACCTTCTATTTTGACAGCTGATTTAGCACAGAATCTGAAATTTTAAGACTCACCGCAAACATTCATCTCTTAGCAGCAACTTCAAGTGGAAGGCATTTGTACGTTTTACTGTACAATGTATTTACATTATGAAGAAAATATTCTAATTAATAATAATAATAATAATAATAATAATACAATAAGAAATGGAAATATCGACTTTTCGTGATTTTTATTTATAAAATAAAGCGATTTTTTTGTTGTTGCATCAAGTCGATCCGAAATCTGTTTAAGTATACTGGTAAATAATTAAATATGTATATTTATTATTATAAATCCCGCTAAATATCTATATAAATTGAAAATTAAAAATATTATATAATTATATTTGTATTTAATTCAGACGTATTGAGTAATGTTTTCCCGGAAGTTGGAAAATCTGAAATTCTTTCGGCAACAACTAGATGGTTCTCTGGAGCTGCCGATAGAGAGGGTGGTAAAAAATTGAGATCCATGGATTCAAATGTCCTCCAAAAATCCGAACAAATCGATGATCCTTTAGCAGTTGCTTGGGCTTTCACTAAGAAAGAAGACGAGGAATATTAATAATTATTGTATAATACATAATAAATATATATGTATAACGTTGTATATAATTTAAATAAAGTTTATTATTGAACAGAAACAAAATTCCAAGGTGTATACAAATTTCAATAAAAATCAAATTAGTTTCAATATATTTAATTGAAATTAAAATCATTCTCTCTATATGGTGGATTTTACGTGAAATAAATTAATAAAATGATTTTATTAAAAAAAAAAAAAAAAAAAAA